TAAAGGCTCACGAGGAAACACAAATGACATCAGAAACTTCACAGCCACTGAATTCTGTATGCTGTGCTCAATGCGGTGGCTCTCTACAGGTCCTGCCGCAGCTGTAGTGCTTTCTCCTGCACCGCTCACCCCTGTGGCCGGTAGATGCCAGAGGAAGAGACATCTGAAATTCGTCTGAAAGCAGCCAGGGCTGCTCACAGCTGGGTGCTGCCAGCGTCAGCTGGCTCCTGATGAGCTGCTTGGCTGAAGATGGCGAACTCCCCGTGTTCAAAGGGCAGGGGAATATTGAATAAATACCATTTATATTTATTTGCCTCAGCTCAGAGCGCGGCCCTTACGTTAATTTGGTAGGTTTTTGGCGATTAGCCCGCTCAGTCTCTATCTGGAATTCAGACCCCCCGGGGCTGCCTGCCTGCTGCCTGCAGGCTTCCAGCCCGGCTGGCCGCTGCATGTCAGTGTTGCTCCGGATAATCGCGGAGCCTCTCGGGCTCAGTGTCTGTGCGGAGGAGCGGCTCCCGCCCGGCCCTGAGCGCTGCGTTGGGACCCGCGGGGCGGGCGGTGGGCGCCGGCTGCAGCTCGCCCTGTAGCTGCGGTCCGTGCGTGGAATCGCACCTTGGTTCCGCTTCAGAACCCTGCTTATGGCAGATCGAGCATCTGCCTCACGTGCACTGATGGCTCAGTTGCTTTATTTGTGTGCTTGACGTTATCTAACGTAGATGTTATGCGCTTAAAGGCTTTATAGCCCCTGCCATGGAGATTCAGCTCTGTGCTGCCCGCAGCCGTGTGCCCCACTATGCCTTGTGCCTAACGGGCCTTTCTCAGAGCTTCTTCTCTTTGGCCTTTGCTCATTTAACTCCGGGTTCAACTGCTGCTTTCACACTGCTGGAAACTAAAGCAAAGCACAGCCTGAACCTGCATCAAAGCCAATGGCAGCTGTGCTCCCCAGGGCCACACCGGTGCCAAAGCTCAGCACTGCAGTCCCCATTCAGCCTTGCAGCACTGTAATGGCCTGAAGGCTCAAAGCTCCAGCCCCGAGCCCATTGCTCCTCCAGGTCTCTTCTTACAGCTCTGGCTGTGGAGCAGAGCCTCAGCCTCTTGGGTTTCGGTGGGTGAGGAAGCACTTGGAAAGTCACAGCCAGAGGGTTGTGATCAGTGGCTCTATGTCCAGGTGGAGGCTGGTGACAGGTGGTGCCCCCAGGGTCTGTACTGGGACCAGTGCTCTTCAACATCTTTATCAGTGACGTGGAAAGTGGGATCAAGTGCACCCTCAGCACTGCTGATGACACCCAGGTGAGTGGTGCAGCTGATGTGACAGAAGGAAGGGATGCCATCCAGAGGGAGGTGGGCAAACATGAAAGGTAGGATCACGTAAGCCTAATGAGCCTCAACAAGGTGTTGCTCTTGAGTCAGGGCCATCTCATATATGTGTACAGACAGGGAGAAGAACTCCTTGACAGCAGCCCTGTGGAGGAAAGCTGGGCACGAGCCAGCAATGTGCACTTGCAGCCCAGAAGGCCAACAGCGTCCTGGGCTGCATGAACAGAGGGGTGGCAGTGGGCAGGGAAAAGATTGTCCACATCTGCTCTGCTGTCTGCAGCACAAGAAGGATGCAGAGGAGGCCATGAAGCTGCTCATAGGACTGGAGCACTTCTCCAGTGAAGACAGGCTGAGGGAGCTGGGCTTGTTCAGCCTGGAGAAGAGAGGGCTCCGGGGGGACCTGATTGTGGACTTCCAGTACTTGAGCCTATAGGCAGGAGTGGGACTGACTTTTTACGTGGTCAGGTAATGATAGGACAAGGAGGAAACAGTTTTAAACTAAAAGAGTGGAAATTTATATTAGATGTGAGGGGTTTTTCACTGAAGGTGGTGAGGCCCTTGCACAGCCTGCCCAGACCACAGGGCTGGGTGTGGACAACAGCAGCTACAGGCAATTTTGTCCCCAGCAGCAGTTGTGGATGGGCATGGTCTGAATTGACAGTGCTTTGAAATTTACAATACCCATGAAAACGTTATCACTGTACTTAAATCCCCTAGTTTAATTGAATAGAGCTATCATTATCCAGAGCTTGTTTATGTCTTGCTGCCTGCAAAACAGAATCAATTTTTCAGACTGAGGCAATGAATATGAGCACCAGGGAAATTCCGTAATTTTATTTTAATAACTGTGAATTATTATTATTATTTTAATAGCCACAAGTAAGGATTTTTTTTTAAAAAACAAATCACGATGCTCTGCACCGGCCCTCAGCGGGGCACTGTGGGGCCACAGCGGTGCGGAGCCCTGGCTGGTTTGCTGCTGGGGGACAAGGCTGCCCGGGCTGGGGGCAGTGGCCCTGCCAACCCAAGGCTTTGTCCCCTCTTGGTGCTGAGCAGTGCCTGCATGGTGCTGTTACCATGTGCTGATGGGCTCAGTCTCTGTCTCATCTGTAGATGGCTCTCCCTGCCATCCCTGTGGGCTTTGCACTGCCCCAGTTCAGCCCCACACACCCTGCCTGCATCACACCAAGAGAATGACAGCATGGCTTGTGTTGGAAGGAACCTTACAGCCCCCCCCTGCTGTGGCCCTGCTGCCTCTCAGCTCAGGCTGCCCAGTGCCCACCCAGCCTAGCCTTGGGCACCTCAGGGGGTGGGCACCCACAGCTCTTTGAGCAACACCATTTGTTTTCAGGGTGCCAAACCCCAAATTCCTATTTCCCAAAGCATTGTGCTTTGTTTCAGCTGTGTGTCCCGAAGCCTTTCCCCAAAAGGAACAAACGTTGGGCATCCCAAGTCAGAGCAGAGCTCTGTGGCCGCCGCAGTGCCTCTCCTTGGGGAAAACATCAGCAAACTCTTTGTGGGTTCTTTTTTTTTTTTCCTTTACAGTTTTATTTACAAAATGTATTAAAACTCTTTGTACAACACCTCATTAAAATGAGGCTCAGTAATTGATGCCCACACATGCAGTTTATGCTTTTACAGCCATTAGTTTGCTTGGCAATTTTTCTGCTCACTGAAGTGCAGTTTCAATGACCAAAAATAGGAACTTAAATTACAAACTGGAAAAAAAAAAAAAAAAAAGAGAGAGAGAAAACAGAAAAAAATACCAGAAGACAACGAAAAGGAAAGAACCCAAGAGAGCCCAAAGCAACGCAAAGGAAAAGAATAAACCAGAACATCGTCGTGAGACTACCGCCGAACTTCCCATAGCTTGGAGCTGGTAGCTGGGGTTTGTAAGCAATCACCACGTTTTGTTTTAGCTTTACATGCAAGTTTAAAAAATGTCGAACCGTTTCCCAAACTCCCTTCACTGGTGTGAAGCCTCCACTCGGTAAAAATGGATTTGATAAACATACTTTTTTATACAGCTTTTAAGAAAAACTCGTGGTTTGAACCCAACGGAGGACCGCTCCGCTCCAGCCCGCCCTCACCCGGAGCGGGTCGTGATCAGAAGGTGAAAAAAATCACAGTTTCATGACAAAAAGAACCCAAACCAAAACCACAACTTTGTTGTTTAATCTCCTGTTAAAAACTGGAACGATAAATTATTCTCCTATGAGCCTTTAAAATGGTTGTTATATTACATTTGGTTGGAAATATGTATTTTTAGCGAGACTTTGCCCATACAGTCCTTTTCTTTGTGTTTGTTGTTGTTTAAATCCTATTAAAAGTTCGAATCTATCATCAGCAAACTAAACGCCTACGGGTCAGATGGGTTTAAATGAGCTTCATTGCGCCGCATGTTACCGACGAAACAAAATTCTATAGTAAACTACAGAAAATACGCCTTGTCGTATTAGAGGTAATTAGTACGCAGATATCTCACCGCACGCTTCCGGCGTGACTGACAACATGTTTCACCTTTTTGTTCTTAATTTTTTTTAAGTATTTTTAACCTTTTGTTGTCGTTGTTGCTTCGTTTGCAGATGGCGCTGCGCGGTTCCCAGGCGGAGGCTGCGGGTTGCTGGGGCAGGGCTGTGCGTCTCCCAGCACGGCGGGGCTGCTCGGGGGGCTGCTCCCTGCTCCGGTTTGAAACTGTTGCCGAGAAGCATTTAGCTGAGCACACTGCGAGCTGGGAGGAACCCGGTGCGAGGCAGAAGCGGGCCTGGGAAAAACTAACCTGCGCTTCTCTTGCTTCGTTGCTTGATATTCAACATTGAATTAAAATGCAGATGCACAGCAAGAAAAGAGATATATGGTCTGAACCTAAACAGCACGTCGCTTGTTGTTTTGTTTAAAGCCACCCAATATTGTTTTCATAAAGCACCTGTAGGTATGCCCGATGATAGAAAAACAAAGGAATACAATATTTCTGCCTGCACTTAGCTACCTTGTCAAGGAAATGAATTTACTGGTCTGGAAGCAGGACATGCAGTTCCACAGATTGCTTTCTCTTGGATTTACAGATTCACAGTCAGTGACCTTAGCTGTATTTAATGCACATTTTCTTTTCTTCAGGTGTTCTTCGCTGATATACAGAAGAGCTCCGACAGCTGAGAGCGGCTCAGAACCACGGGCGCCGGGTCCCGGGCGGCTGCGCTGGGGCCAGGCTGGGTGCGATGCTGCCGGAGCCGCGTGCCCACAGCTGCCAGCACCGCACCGCGGCTGCGCTCGGGACTCGAGTTCAGTTTCTGTGCAGTGGTATCAAAGAATGGCTTTTGTTGCACTGATTTTTTTACAAGATTTTTTTTTTCTCAATACTAAGATCTTGTTAGCAGTCCTTTCCTTTGCTTTTTCTTCACTTTCTTTCACTTCCTTTTCCTCTTTCGTCTTTTCCTCTCTTTTCTTTTTCTTTTTTTTCCCCTTTCCTTTCCTTTCCTTTCCTTTCCTTTCCTTTCCTTTCCTTTCCTTTCCTTTCCTTTCCTTTCCTTTCCTTTCCTTTCCTTTCCTTTCCTTTCCTTTCCTTTCCTTTCCTTTC